TTTTTTTTTTTTTTTCATCTGTCAAACTGCTTGTACAAGTATAGAAACTCTAAACAAAGTGAACATTAAAGGATTGAGACGGAGAAAAATGCTGTGATTTGGTAATTTATGTAATCAAATGCTGTTAATCTTGCGGAATGCAAATTTCTAGCATTTTCAGCGGGTATGCTTTGTTTAAATATCTGCCAAACATTATGGTTTCAACGAGTCATAGCCAAACCATTTGGTTCATGATCGAAAATTATTTATCATCTAATGGTTTTGTGTAGATAATTGTAATTACTCGTCGTGGTATATTGATCGATAATGCATAAAGATCATACCAAGCAATGTTATTATGCAGTACATAACTCTCACAACAACAAAATTCCATGACACAAGTTACTCATTTCTCTGATGAAAATCACTTCAATAAGCAATAAGAGGGAGTTCAGTGCAGGGACGGAACACATTTCTCCATGTCGTCTACAAAACTGGATTGCATCAGCAAATCCCGAAAAAAAGCTGAAACACCTTATTTCTTCTCAATGGTCGAAACAGTAGTAAAATTCTTAAGCTGTCACAGGTTGCTTCTGAATGAAAGCGATACCTTTCTCAATGCTGGCCTTCAGCTCAGGCTTGAGTGCTTCTAAAGCCTTCTGTTCAAACTCAGTTAAACCTTGGAGGTCCGATGAAATTAATGCCTCAAACCCATTCCGTCCAAGCTTAACCCTTGAAGCAAAGAATGGGAGCTCAGTCAAGTCAGACTGGACAAAGGTGCACTCATAAACATCACTATCCCCATCAAGTGCACGGAGTGAGGACTCAACAAATCGTGCTGCAGCATATGCCATAGAAAGAGTGGCGGATCCTGCACCAGCCTTTGCCTCATCAACTTCTGTCCCAGCATTTTGAATCCTGACAGTTAGCTCATGAACTTCTTCATCAGTGAAAGTAACCGATGGTTTTGTCTTCGACAGCAAGGGCAAAATAGTAATCCCAGCATGACCTCCAATGACTGGGACATCAACATCAATGAGCTTTAGGTTTTTCCTCTGAGAGACAAATGTATTTGCCCTTACAACATCAAGGGTGGTAACTCCAAAGAGTTTCTTTGGATCATATACCCCCTTTTGCTTCAAGACTTCCGCAGCAATTGGAACGGTGGAGTTAACAGGATTGCTAATGATGTGGATGAAGGCATCAGGGCAGTTATCGGCAACAGCCTCAACTAAGGTCTTCACTATGTTAGCGTTAATGTTAAATAGGTCATCACGGGTCATTCCTGGCTTCCTTGGAACACCGGCAGGTATGACAACAACATTTACACCCTTTAAACAAGCAGCCAATTCAGATGCTCCAGTGAAATCCAATACCTGCGAGGGGGTGTTGCAGTGACTAAGGTCCGCTGCAACTCCCTTCACATTTGCTATATCATAAAGGTGCAGAGCAGAAACCAATGGTGACATTTTGATTAGAAGTGCCAGCGGCTGGCCTATACCACCAGCAGCTCCAAGGACAGCTACTTTATAAGACGCCTGAGGCTGACCATGACTATAAGTTCTCATGTTATCTTTTCGGGCTTTACCAATGTAACAGCGCCTGAGAGCTGCACTGCTTTCACTGCCTAAGAATGATGATTTCGATTGACAGCTCACAGAGTCAGCAGTCTTGAGGCCATTGGATCTCCATAAGTAATTTGTAGAATGGAATCTGATACCAAAGGCCTTTGACTGTGAAACTGGGCCTAGTTTGGAGCCGGCAGATACAGCAGATCCAATTGAAAAGTTGGTTGTTGATGTTGCTGCCATATTTCAACCTGCAAAAGTAAGTAGAAATATAATTTCAAAACATTACTTTATCAGTGCACTTTAGAACAAGACTTCAATATCGGCAAACTAAGGCCAAATCAAAGCATATTAAATTCAACTAAGATTAGTGCTTGGAGCATCTTAAAATACTAACAGCTGCTATATTCAGGAGCACTCTTAACAAATAAAAAAAGTTAATTAATGGTTCCACGACCTACTTTATAGCTCAAGTGAAATAGAAAAATAGGCAAATCTTGTTTGACAATCTATATACAAGCAAAGTACAAGTTCAGAGTATGAAACATCAGGATCTAATTCACAATTATCTCAAAAAGATGAAATGACTCTATTAAGCTAAGGTGGCAATGGTAAGCTTGAAATCAGTACCATAATCTTCCCAGCTGCCCAAAGTTTATTGAAACAGGAGGATAAGACAATGATTGCAACAAATGAGAGTCGGAGGAAGCAGAGCGGTTAACAGTAGAGCAGAGGCGGGATTCACAATGAAATAACCAAGAGACAGGAGACCAGGAACAGAAATAAAATATCCAATTTGCAAAGTAAAAAAAGATCATGGAAAGAGCAGACCTTAATAGAACAGATGATCAATTAAAGAAGATAGCCAGATACTGAATTTGTATAGAGTCTATGTTTGTAGCTCTACTTCAATCAAAAGAAATATAGACTTTGGTAAATGAATGGAGGTGCAAAATATGATAAGTTAAAAGTTTTTACCATCAAATAGGTCATATCTGACTTCACATGCATTTTTGTAGCTCTCTCCTTAACTTAAAAGAACAAAAAATAAAAAACTCACAGCCACTAACAATTACTAACATATAATAAAATTAAATCGTAAGAAATTGTAATTAGATTCATGTTACACCATATGGCAAATAGCCAAGCTGAGTCGTAACTCAACCATCTCGTTAGCTCAAAAAGATATGAAGGTTATATGCAAACATGGTTCTCAAAAATATTGTGCGTGCTTTTGTAGTTGAGCCCAGTACAAAACCAGCTCGGTCATAATTAGTAGCTAGAGGTACAACTCAAATGGACAACTGTTATGTGTTAAGAAGTGCAAATCATTTCCCATTCAATGCCAATCACAGTGAGTGGCCTTGGGACTTATAACCCATCATTTTGACATCCTATAATTTGCACTATAAAAAAGAAGATATTTGCCTTTAGAACACTAGAAATCTGACCCCTAAGATTACATGTAGTCTCTCCCTATTAGTTATTCTAAATGACAAGCTTCTGACAGAAGCATCAAAGCCTCTGAGGTGACTAATCTCCCAGCTCGGCCACCTTGCAGGACAAACTGAGCTTGAATAAAGCTTCTCCAAGTTTTGCTATCAACAGTACATGTAAATTAACCAAACAAATCAAACTTATATTTCAAGCGTCAAATGCTAAAAGAAATTTTAGATTCTCGGCAACATCGGTTTTCAAGGCTCATTGATTTTTATGTTGTTATTTATCGCATTTTAGGTATCACAAAAAGTGCAGAGATCATCGTATCATTTTCAGGAAATATCTTATCATTCAATTAAATTTCACAATAAAATTTACTTAAACAGAGAGAACTAAAATCGAATTCTGATTCACAAATTGCATCTTCAGGGTGAATCGAGAAAGATGGATCACAAACCACGCAGAAATCCTCATATCATTTTCACGAAACATATTATCATTCAAATGAAGTTTACGTTAAAATTTATTTAAACACAAAATAACTCCAACGGAATGCCAATGCAAAAATTGTGCTATCACCTATGATAAAACCCACACGAACTCTGGGGGCCTGGTAATCGGGGGCCAAATCTATGCACTGGTTCAGCCGAAAGTGCTTTAGCATTTCTCTTAATTAACTTCAATCCAAAATAGCTAAACAAATAATAAACGTTAAAATGCCGTAGACTCCCATTTTAGCTAAAACTGAAAATTAAAAAAGAAATAGATGTTAAAAAATCCCATAAAATTCATGTTTGAATCGGGGTAACTAAACACATAGGAATTCTGAATTCACATATATAAAACAAACAGCCAGATCTACAAATTAATGAGTTCGAATAAGATAATAAGAATCAAAATCAGAATTTTAAGATCAGATAGATTTGAACTTACAGTTCTCTTTCCTTGATCTCTGAAGGGTTCGCGTAGAAATGAGTAGGTAGATTGTAGACCTTTAAGAGATACTATTAAGGTAAGAGGTTGTGGCCCTTGTGGGGATTAAAAGGTCGCGCTTTACACACAGATACACGCTGGGGTGTGTGTATGGCATAAGTTTCTCCGCCGCTTGTCCTCCACAAATGTGACGGTGTGTTGAAAGCTGTTTTTATAAATTATTTCTTTTAAAAAAAAAAAAAAAAAAAGGTTGAGCTCCAACTTCAAGGTTCTCACCGTTCCGTCCCTAAAACTTTGTGAGGAAATAAATTATTTCATATCTTTTTAATATTGTACCCGTTTGATCTCCATTTTATCAAAATTTTATTTTTTAAAATTTATTTTCAATTCTACATTCTTCAATAAAATAAATTACACATAAATCAAAAATTCATTTTTATTTTTTTAACTAAAAAATTATTTCAAAAGACATTTCCCACCTTTTTGGGCTAAATAACAGAGCAAAATCATTATTTATTTATTGATTGAAGATTTATAGTCCTTGTTTGAGCCATATTATTGGAATGAAAATACGTTTTTGAATAGTGTATTGATGAGAAATGTGCGGTTAAGAAATAAGGAAAAGTTTTAGATTTGCGTGTAATATTATTTTATTAAAAAATATGTGATTGAAATGATGTTAAATCACTCTTGAAGAATGTATTTTTTTTTTTTAAATACGGCTCAAAAGGCCATGGTATTTAGACGCATGTATAAATACAATTTTTTTTTTGAATAATATTTTTTATATGTCGTAAATCTTTTTTTTTTTTTTTTTTAAATATATTTCGATTGGGACAGCATTGATTCGAAGCTCAATATTCGAATCTCTTTGAGGTGATGCTAAATCCAAACATCATGGCCATACATTTGGAATCTTCGTTTTTGGACACCTGAGATTACGTTTGATGAAACAAAATGGGAGAATTGCAGCTCGGGTCTCAAACCTTTTAATTTTTTGCATACTATACCTAAATCTTTCATTTTTACAGATGGATCTCAAACTTTTAGTCTAAATTGCAGCAAGAATCTGTCCATTCCTTCCTCAGTTAACCCAAAAAGTCAAGTTGATCACATTTTGATTAAATTGAAAAGGGTAACATTGTAATTTTATATTTTCTCCAATAAAGTAATTAATAAATTAAGAAAAGGGAAGATTGAAATTGTTCATCCCCACCCACAACCAAACATCGATGAAGATTAAAGGATTAATCCGCCACCATCGCCATCGCCTCCACCACTATCAACAAAGGCTAAAGGATTCCAAATCACCATTCCACAAACAAATGAATCCCCCGACTAAAAAATAGGGAGCATCAGACCTACCATCACCACATGCTACCACCAACACCAATATTCTATGGCCACCACTTTCATCATCGAAAAGAGATGGTAGGAAAGAGGGGAAAAAAAAAAAAAAAAGAGCCAGAAAGTTAAATTGCTTGATCTTGAGCACAATTTCAACCAAAAAAAAAGCCATCAAAAAGCAAACCTCCTACAAAAATTACAAAGGAAATCAAAGTCTATAGGTAATTAGTAGAACAGTAAATTCTACTAGAAAAATCGAGCTCCAATTTTTCACACAGCATGTGAATAAATTGATTCTCTTCCTGACGGCATAAAAATCCCATGAAATCATTCATCTTGGTCACTATTTCTAATTTAATCGAAAGCTTCTTTCAATAGCAAATAAATATATTCCCCTTATGTGACTCTTCTATCTCTCGATGAAAGATGCAAACATGATAAATATATTTAACAAGAGCTAGAACACTTATTGAAAACCATTTAAAGCATTAAGGTATACCTCTATCCTCTACCAAACTTTACAATGTTAATTGTATGAGTTAATTTCACAAACGGTCACTGAACTTACCTAAAAATCTCAAAACGGTCACTGAAGTTTAAAACTTGTAGAGACGGTCACCGAACTTACGGGGCGCTTTCACTAACGGTCACTGAAGGACCAACACGTGAATTGGATCCTTGAGGACCTCAATTGTAAATTCCATCTAATTTCATTTGGTTAAAATCTACCCCTGAAATTTAGAAATCAAGCATTTCCCTCTCACTTACACCATATTCTCTGACGTCGAAAATTGCCAAATTCGACCACCATGCGTCGGAATTACTATCGGATTTTTGCACCACCAACACCTACTCATCCCTCTCCATAATCATATACCAACAATTAACCAAAGCACATCAAAAATCAAATGAAATTTAGGTTCAAAAAACCACCCCCACACACGGTATTACCTCCAATTCCAGCCAATTCAAGATAAATTGGTGAGGACCCATATGTGCATCTTGTTTGCCATGATAAGTAGAAGGTAATGGTGGTGGTGTGCGACCGTAATTGTTGACACCGGCGCTGAATATTGGGGCGGAAAGTGCGTTCTTCACTGCCTGAGAACTGGTATGAGTTATATCCTAATTTAAATTGTTTTGTGATGGTATGGACCATGTACCTGTTCGTCTTGGGGAGTACTAACAGCCTGTGATGGAGTTTTGGCATGGGTGATGATGGGTTGGCCGAAATTCGGAGGTAAAATCGTGCGTGGGTTGGTTTTTTGAACTTGGATTTCATTTGATTTTTCATGTGTTTTGGTTAATTGTTGGTATAGGATTGTGGATGGGGATGAGGAGGTGTTGGTGATGTAAAAAATCCGGTAGTAATTTCGGCGGTATGGTGGTCGAATTCGCCAATTTTCGGCGTCGATGAATAGTATGTGAGTAGGAGGAATTTGGCAATTTTTGGTTAGAGCGATTTGGTCCTCAAGGTTTTATTTTTAAGTGTTTTGGTCCTTTAAGTTTGAATTAAAATCATAAAGGTTCTTCAGTGACCGTTAGTGAAAGCGCTCCATAAGTTTAGTGACTGTCTTTACAAGTTTTAAATTTCAGTGACCGTTTTGAGATTTTTAGATAAGTTCAGTGACTGTTTGTGAAATTAATCCTTTATTATATTATGATTAAATCCTATTGTCTTTCTCCATAACAATTCAATTGGTGATCAAAAAATTGAAAAGAATGATAAAAATGATAATAAACATCCACAAACTAAAGTCAAAATAATTAATTAAAAACTAAAAATATCATAACGAGTGTTTGTCTTATCCCAACAATGTATAAAACTAGCCCAACATATTGAAATTACAAGAAATCGTATTTTAAGGGAAAAGACGTAACTCGAATTTTTGATAAATTGAGAAAATGAAAATGAATCTTGAAATCTTGAGCGCTTGTTTGAGTCACATTCTTCCAAAAATTCATTTTTAGTCACACATTTTTCAATAAAATAATATTACCCGCAAACCCAAAATTTTTCCTTAATTTTTAATCACACGTTCTACATCAATCACTATTTAAAAATATATTCTTTCGCTTAAAACGGGGCTCAAACAAGGGCTGAATCTCTTCAATGGTCTTCTTGATTAATCTCCACTTTGCACCTTTTTTTCTTTGCTCAAAAATCAAACTTGAATCTTCACTTGATTGAATTCTTGCAAGTCCCCTTCAATTCTCTCAAAAAAAATTTGAATTTCCCTTCTTTGATGATAAAAACTGATGAGTATCGGAGTATAATATGTATATGAGAGATGTAGGTGTTTCGCGCGGGTTAGTCGCTAACAATTAAAAAGGATCAGACGATTGTGTAAGGGACAAACCTCTTGAGACAAAGTCCCAAAAAGGGGTGTTCTTTTATTGGCAATGACTTTACAATTGGAAATTAAAAACAACGTGCCTCCAAGGGGCGCAAGCACACGAGTTACTGAAAGAAAAGTATTTAAGTCTAAGCTAAGGAAATTAAAATTACATGTTCTCTGTTCGAGAGGTTTTGATTCGGTCCTTTGCTCTATGTCTTTTCTCCCTTTTATACTTCATGGACGATCTCTTTGTGATCAACCGCCTAAAAACTGCTTGATCATCCTATAACTGTCCACTTTCCTCGTAATGGCCAACTTGTCATGAAAACTGCCTTTTTTAACTGCTGCCATTACTCTTCGTCGTTCAACCGCTTTCGATTGAATTCCTTGAATCGTGGAACGTGATAGGGCTGCTTTAATAATTGCTTTGATAACTGCACTTCTTGATAACCACAACGCTTTATGTTTGTTAAGACCTTGGGCGACTTGAAGGTTTGGGCGAGAATAGAGTAACAGCTCTGGGCGACTGTATGGCACTCCATTCGCTCAGATTCTGGGCGACTTGCAAACTTGGGCGATGACGTTACCGCGTTCTTGGGCCTCCCTATTTCGGCCTTCATATTGATTTGTTTGATTGGGCTTCACTCCTTGGGCCGTTCGATTTGGGCTGAATTTTTATGTGTCAACAATTACCCCCCAATATGGCAGAATTAATAATGATTATTAAATTTTGCCATATTCACTTTGTGTTTCCAGCAACATTCAAAATTTCCAAGAATTTCAATCATTGTTTTCTTCTATAACTTGAAAATGTGCGTCGTTTTGCAAACCCTTTTAACCCCCAAACACGCCATTTTACTGCACCACTAAATCACGCCTCAAATTTTTCGCGTCTCTCCCACGATTTACTGTTCATCTTTTGCTTCCCTGCTACGTAACCCTGAAAAACTTCGTTCCATCTCAAATGGCTACTTCACAATCTCAAGCTGGCGACTCCTTTAGTTTTGATGACTTTCAGAAACTTCTGAGTCGTCCATACATAACTCCAAGTTTTCTCGCGCCCGCCGATGTTGAACGCAATGAGTTCTACTTAGGTCCTTTCTTTAACAATGCAGAGGCAGTTGAACAGGCGACGGTGGGTCAGCTGTTTCCTTGTACTCAAGGCCCTCATTTTCTAAACTCTCTGCCGTTGGGGCCACTTCGCGAAAGAAGTATTCGCACTTGGTCTAAATCTGATGTAGCTTTCCGTAGATGGCATGCTCACTGTGGGTCATGGTCCTACTAAGGCATTTTTTGATAGCGCTAGGATTTCTGATTTGTTAGAAATCTCTATTCGCCCCCCCTACTTTTGATTCAACACCCTTTTCGATTGCTTTGAGTTTTTTGGTCTTCTGAGTATAATACCTTTATTTTCCCTCTTGGCCCCATGTTTATTACGTTAAAGGATGTTAGGGCCCTGGTGAATCTACCACCTTTGGGCGATACCATTTTTCCTGGTAT